GATCATACAAGTAATGATGGTATGACTTTAAAAATTTCTGCATCTGTTATGAATAGTACATGGATAATTGATTCTGGTGCTACTGAACATATGACTTGCAATTCTAGACAGGTCCAAACCCTAAAACCATCCACCAATACTATACTTAGTGTTGCCAATGGTATTGTTGTCCCCATTATTGGGGAAGGCGATGTCTCCCTCTTTGATACCCTGAATCTTGACTCCGTACTTGTTGTTCCTTCCCTTGACTATAATTTATTATCTGTTGTTCAAATAAATGTCGCCCTACATTGCCTTGTTATTTTTTGGCCTTCCTTTTGTGTTTTTAAGGACATTTGGACTCATAAGACGATTGGTTATGGTATTCGGAGGGGAAAACTCTACTACTTGGAGCTGGCATCGAATAGTTCTTGAAATTTAACTCAAGCTCTTGCCATTGAAGGATCTCATAGGGAGAGGGATAAATCTTCCGAGGTTTGGTTGTGGCATCGTCGACTTAGACATGCTTCTTTCGGCTATTTACGAAGGTTGTTTCCTAGCCTATTTGTTAAGCATGACGTTTCTAGCTTTAAATGTGGTGTTTGTGAAATGGCTAAAAGTCATTGTACTTCATTTCCGTCCAGTATGAATAAAAGTTCAGTTCCATTTATGATAATTCATTCTGATGTTTGGGGGCCATCTAAAACTACTACGTTTGGTGGTGCTTATTAGTTTGTTACTTTTATTGATGATTGCACATGTATGACTTGGGTATGTTTAATGAAGTCCAAAAGTGAAGTTCATTCTTTGTTTCAGCAGTTTTATAAAATGGTACAAGTACAATATAAGTCCCACATACAGGTTATCAGGAATGATAATGGTGGTGAATATGTTAACTCTGACCTTTGTGCCTTTCTTGATCATCATGGCATTGTTCATCAAACCACGTGCCCATAAACTCCACAACAAAATGGGGTTGCAGAACACAAGAACCGTCAGCTTTTGGAGGTTGTTCATGCTTCTTTGCTCGAGGCTCGTCCCCCGTTATCCTATTTAGGAGAAGCCCTCACCTCAGCTACGTATCTCATTAATTGTGTTCCATCCCGATTCGTTGATTTTCAAACACCACTTCAGGCTCTCTCCTTACACGTTGATGCTCTTGCAGTCCCCAATCTTCCACCTCATGTGTTTGGCTATGTGGCATTCGTTCATCTTCATAAATAGTAAAGGAGTAAGCTTGAACCTCGGGCCTTACGGTGTGTGTTTGTGGGGTATGCCTCAAATCAGAAGGGACATCATTGTTATCACCCTCCAATGAAAAAGTTGTTTGTCACTCGATGTTGCCTTTCATGAGAATGATATGTACTTTGCCAGTCCTGAGTCTTCACTTCAGGGGGAGAATCAAACAAAAGTTCAAACTCTTGACTATACTATTCCGAAGACAGATAGTATGAATGATTTGGATTTAAGTAGTGATGTCTTGGAGACAAGTGATGATCATTCACATGGAAACAATGATGAAAACTTTGAAAGTAACAAGTTGACTACACCAGATAACTCACAACCTTTATCTCTGCCTGACAGCTCACTCCAGTTTCTTCACCAGCGGACAACCCTGTGTCGCCAACTACCTCACACTCGATTTCACCGCCTTTGAGCCCTAATAACCATAATCAATTGCCTTTGATCCCGGATGCACCACCGCCACATTGCCTCCCTGACAGTGTAAATTGAGGTATTCCTAAACCTACTTATGAAGCTGACCCTAAATGCAAAACTAGGTATCCAATGAATAAGCCTAACCCTAAATCCAATGTGTTATACCATCAATTAATTATGTATCGACCAGTCACTTGTCAGAATCAGATAAGTCATTTGTGTATCAATTAATTATGTGTCGACCAGTCACCTGTCAGAATCAGATAAGTCATTTGTGTATCAATTAATTATGTGTCGACTAGTTACCTATCAGAATCAGATAAGTCATTTGTGTATCAATTATCTACTGCATCTATTCCTAACAATGTGCAGGAGGCTTTAGCTGATTCACGTTGGTAAGAAGCAATGAATGAAGAGTTAAAATCTTTGAAGAAGAATGCTACCTGGGAGATCACAAACTTGCCAGCTGATAAGAAACCTGTGGGGTGTAAATAGGTTTATACTGTGAAGTATAATGCTGATGGGACAGTGGATCGCTTCAAGGCAAGACTGGTAGCAAAAGGATACACTCAAAAATATGGAATTGACTATACAGATACATTTGCTCATGTGGCCTAGATCAACACCGTTCGTGTTTTGTTGTCCTTGGCTGCAAATCTTGATTGGCCTTTACAGCAGTTTGATGTGAAGAATGCTTTCTTACATGGAGATTTGACAGAAGAGATTTAAATGGATCTTCCACCTGGATGTAATGCTCTAGATAAATACAAAAGAAAGGTGTGTCGGGTTGAAGAAATCCTTGTATGGCTTGAAGCAGTCTCTTCGAGCATGGTTTGGAAGATTCATAAAATCTATGAGTGCATTTGGTTACAGACAAAGTAACTCCGATCATACTTTGTTCCTGAAAAGACAGAATTTGAAATGAAGGACATTGCATCCCTGAAATATTTTTTAGGGATTGAGGTGTCGAGAAGCAGTTCTGGAATTTTCTTGTCTAAGAGGAAGTATATTATTGATTTGTTGCACGAAACTGGCATGTCAGCTTGTTAGCCAGTAGCTACACCATTAGAAGAAAGATTGAAACTTAGTGTTAATTCTAATCAAGTACCAGTTGACAAAGGAAGATACCAAAGGTTAGTAAGCCTTTTGATGTATTTGGCACACACAAGACCAGACCTTGCTTATGCCTTTAGTGTAGTGAGTCAATACATGCATGATCCTAGAGAACAACATATGAATGCCGTGATGAGAATATTGTGATATTTGAAGGGAAGTCTGGGCAAAGGAATTTTGTTTAAAAGGAATAATCACTTTAGCGTTGAAGGTTATACTGATGCAGACTGGGCAGGTTCAATTGACAATAGGCACTCAACATCAGGTTACTTTACGTTTGTTGGGGGTAACTTGGTTACATGGAGAAGTAAGAAATAGAATGTGGTTGCCCGTTCCAGTGCAGAAGTCGAATACAGAGGTATGGCTTTAGGAATTTGTGAAATTTTGTGGCTTAAGCTTCTGTTAAGCGATTTGGGTATACAACATGATCAGCCCATGAAATTATTTTGTGATAATAAAGCTACCCATGACATCACACATAATCCGGTACAACATGATAGAACAAAGCATGTTGAAGTTGACCGGTTCTTTATCAAAGAAAAATTGGAAGGGAAAATAATTGAAGTACCGGCGATAAGAACAGAAGATCAGTTGGTAGATATCCTCACAAAAGCTGTTTCAAGTCACAAGTTTTCAAGTTTCTTACACAAGTTGGGTATAAGCGACATATATGCACCAACTTGAGGAAGAGTGTTGACTTTTGTATTTTAGGTAGGATCCCTAATTGATTGTAATTCCGTGTATTCTCATGTAATCACTTGTAATTAGTTCTCTTTCCATTTATGTTAGGGTTGTAAACCTATAAGTACCTCTTATTGAGAAGAATATAATACAATTCAAAGCATTCTCTTCTAATTAAAGGAAAATCATTTTATAGAAGTTATTTAAGTGAAAGTTACAAATCTTGGAAGTCATCAAAGTTTTTTCAGTTCAAGCATGAGAAGCAATCTCACATGCACCCTAGTTGAAGTTTTTTTCTTTTCCGGACAACGCGATAAATATTTTGAACTACTTTAATTAATGACATGTATATTGAGTGTTGTTATTCTCACCTCAGTGTCTTATCCCCCACCCACTTCTTAATGAAATTTTTTAAATATCAGTTTGTCCATCTATAAAATGACAGATAAAGACCTTAAAAGGTAATATACATATTCTTTAAGTGGAGGGATTCCATGTTAGCCATATATCACTCCTTGAATTTCCTTGTCCAAATTAGATTCATGTTATGGTTTGTAATTCGATTTTGGTTGTGATGGAGGGGTCACTATTCCAAAGCTCTAGCATGAGCAGGGTGACAATCAGTTCACTAAATAAGAAACCCAAAGAAGGCAAAAGTTGAGTGAGGAGCGTAGAGCCTAGAGCTGTTGTCCAAAAATTGAGAAAAAAAAATTCCAAATTAATTGAACCAATTCCACAAAACGGGATTTAGAAAAATGGAACTTTAACGAAAAACTTCTGGTACTATTCACTTTAATGAAAAACCACATTTTTATACTAAAAAGTCAATCCTAGTACTATTCACTTTACCCTTTATTTTGTCCTTATCGTTAAAAATCAAAATTTTCAAACATTTTTAATTAGTTTTCCTTTATAAATATTCATAAAAAGGACCTTTGCAATTTGAATCATGGAGGAGGAACACCCAAATTCATTCTCCACAGAAAAGTAGTACTTGAAAAAACAACAATCCCAGTTCCTTGAACCCATATCTGAATTTGAAAGACAACACGCAAATATCTTTGATTTGTCTTTCAAGATTGGCGTTTGATTTTTCTAAGAGACAAGTTTATAATTGTATATGTATATTAGAGGTTATTTTAGGAATAATAGTGGGTGGGGAAATACTATTTTAATTTTTAAATTTTTTATAGTGGGTGGAATTATAATGTAAATGAAAAAATAGAATAATGGTGTGAATCTAATAGCTCTCTATATATTTTAAATTGCTCTAATTTATATTCAATTCTGAACAAAATAGAAAAGATAAAAGCAAGTAAATGTCCTCTTTGACCTCACCAAACCGACTATATTTACATGCAATATGATTCCAACAACTGAATGAACCCTCTAATATTGCCCAACAACAACTGAATTAAAAAATGGGGAAAATTAGAATCCCCTTCACTTTTCTAATACTCTTTAGATTAAACATTGGTTCTAATACAAAATTTGATTAGGATGCCTAAACAATAGCCATGTCAGCATTTTTATTTATTTAGATTACAAGTCATTATTGTGTTTTTTTAATTTAATATGTTAATTATTAAATTCCATATATATTCTTTTATGTAGATATATTTCTGTACGTGCCTATTCTTTAGGAAGCCGTTTTCTTCTCCCATGTTTGAGCGTATTGTTTCTTCTCCCACGTTTGAATTCTGTGATCCTCATTTTTGAATTTTGAATGGCATCATCCATTTCAATTAGTGGGTGTTTTCACTATTTTATATTCATATCTTGTGAGATAATTAGACGTATTCTCTATTTTCGGAGGATTGAGGCTTGTACGTTCAGGAGGTTTATCGAGATTCTCTACAACGTCTACCTTGTTATCTGTGGTACGTTGTGATAAATACATATAGCATGGTTATAGTAATTGTGATATATTGTTGTTTAGATATAAATATGCTTAATGGGATTTCAGATAATTATCGTAAAGTTAATGCTTTTTTGTAGTTTTGTCGATTTTAGTCTGAGTTCGAAAAGGGATTTAGATTGGTTATTTTGTTGTGGGTTTCAGATAACTATTCTGATGCCAGGTACAATTGTTTTGTTGAGTTTTAATGAAGAGGTGCTTCTGTGCATGATTTGGTTTAAGACTTGCCGACCTACCACTATTCCTTTTCCTCATTTTTATTCCTTCTGTTATTAATGCTCATTTATATTGATAAGTTATAACACTGGAAGATGCACACTAAAGAAGTTGTGTTGAGTTTTTGAAGATTTGAAAGGTGCCCAACACATGTTCGATGAAATGTCCCAATAAGCATTGGTGCTGTGTGCATTTTGCTTGGGCTTGTAAGGCTTATGAAAGTCATGTTTTACACCAATTTTTAATAAAATAAATGAGAGAAAAATTAAGCAAGTAATAACAATGGAGAGGACACTAATATATCTTCTTTGGTGCAAATAAGTTGTATAATAGGTTGTTTTTTGCTTTCTTCTCTGCTAGTTCGCTAAATAGGAATTCCCTGGTCCATTTAGATTTTCAGTATTGATCGATATATAATTTTACATTTTGCTTTGGTAATCTCGTGTATAGCTCAGTTTTCCAATTTATTTTTGTATGTAGGACTTCATGGCAGGAGCTATTGTTGGGAGATGTATCCATAATGATGTTACTGCTTCTATTCCCGTTTTTTAGCACACTTCATTTTCTGAATTGTGCAACTAGGTTAGCTCAAGGTTCAATGGTTTGGTAGTTGGTTCATTTAACCTTACATATGCTATGAATGGATGCATGTTGTCTTTTGGAATGTGACATGGATGTGCGTGTATTACACATGTCTGTAACGAAGGAGAACACATATTTTGTTGATATATTGGTGAGCTTAAAAGAATAAAATGAAATTGGCAATGCTAGTCAAGATATTCGTATTACAGAACCATTTTTTGGCTGAAGGTGTAATGCACACCGATGGGAATGAGTTTTTGGGGAAATTTAAAACACCTAATGCTAAGATGTATTTATCGCATCCTTGGAAAAGCTATATTAGTCATGTTGGTCAGGATTATGAGGGTGGAGCGGATGAGTTCAGGCTTAAACTATGCTGTTGAAATGGGTTTTGAATTTGAGTATGTTGCAAATGAGCATAAAAGGATAACAGCTTGTTGCATTAAGAAAGATATTGAAGGTTGTCCGTGGCGTGTTCATGCATCTATATGTAGTGCTAATGGCCATTTTGTTATCTGGAGATTAAATAATCAGCACATATGCATTGGTCGCATTCGAGAACGTAAAAGTGGGATGATGACCTCAAAGATTGTGTGTTCCATACTGGTTGAGCAACTTCGGTCCAATCCACACATTAAACCAATTCAGATAGTTGATGATTTCAAAAAGAATTACGGTTTGGATGTTTCCTATTACAATGCTTGGTACGGAAAAGAGATGGTGATGACAATGGTTCATGGTGATGACGTTTTATCTTACCAAAAGTTAGGTTGGTATGTGGAAGAGATCCGTAAAAGTAATCCTGGATCCCATTGTGTGTTGCAGTGCGACCCAAACACCTCCCACTTTCGTCGTCTATTTATTGCTTTTAGAGGTTCTATTGAGGGGTTTAATTATTGTAGACCCTTATTATTTTTGGATGGTACGTTTGTGAAAAACAAGTACAAAGGCACTTTGCTTGGTGCGACAGGGAAAAATGGTAACCAAGGTATGCATGTAAAGATGTATATATTTTTGTATGTTAATTAACATCATGCTGTAATTAATTATGTTGTATTTTTCATTTGTATAGGTTTTTTCCCTCTTGCATTTGCTTTGGTTGATGTTGAAGATGAGGCTAACTGGACTTGGTTTTTGATGAACTTATCTACCGTATTATTTGAAGATGACCGTACCATTACATTCATATTGGACCGGCACAAAGGATTGCTTCAATTTGTGGCAAATGTTTTCCCTACTTCTCCACATGGATTTTGTATTTACCACATAGAAAAGATTATTAAGACCACATATCCTATTGGCTTTGGGAAAACTTTTTGTAAGAAAATGGTCCAATTATTCAAGAACTGTGCTTATTCATCCACTCCATAAGTGTTCGACGTAAACCTGCAGATTCTGAGAAAAAAGGGTGGTGGACTAATTGACAAATTTTTGGAGGACTTGCCCAAAGAGAACTATTCAGATACATTCTTTTTAGGTGCCAGGTACAATTGTTATGTTGAGTTTTAATTGCAGAGGTGCTTGTGTACATGATTTGGTTTAAGACTTGCCGTCCTACCACTATTCCTTTTCCTCATTTTTATTCCTTCTCTTATTATGCTTTCATTCAACAGTATATTTTTTAGGAGTTTTCAGTTGGTATGAAATCTTGGTTATGGAACAACATAATGTCAGGATTATGCAGTGTTTTGATTGACTTTTTTTTTTGCAGGTACGGTGAAATGTGGTCAAATGTTGCCGAGTCATTCAATTCTTGGATTAGGAAAGAACGATTATTACCAATATTCCAATTGGTAGAAAGCATAAGAGTTAAATTGATGGTGATAAATGCTGAGAGACGTATTGCTGCAGAGAAATGGAACTCTTATTTATGCCCCGAAATGGAAAACCAGTTGGATAAGTTATTGAAGGTGGGAAGACATTGGCACATTAACCGGTCAAGCAAGTTTGTATTTGAAGTACGTAGTGATGACTCGATGATGGTGGACTTGGAAAAATGGTATTGTTCATGTTGTCAGTGGCAGATTAAAGGTTTCCCTTGCTCACACGCAGTTGCAGCTATCATGCACAACGATGGCAATCCTTATGATTACATTGAAGACTATTTCACAACTGATTACTATAAGTCTTCATATTCTTTTCCAATTGAATCGATTCCTGACATCTATCAATCCCCAATTTGTTTCATCTTATTTCCTTTCTTTGCATTTTCATAAGGTACGTCACCAACTTTCCTCATTGATTCAACAACACCAGAACTCTTTTGTTCCACATGTTTCCTTTTTTTGCCAGATCTTTTTTTTGTATTTGCATATTCGAAGTCCACTTTTCTAAGTACCTTTCATACCTGTCTTCTTTTCACTCCTTTGATTATGGAAGCTATTTTCGAAGATGGTTTTTTTTTATCGACCTCTTCAAGTAAGACACTGATTTGTTTATGAGCTTCCTCCAATTCAGTTTCAGTTGCAGCCAATGCCTCGCTCAACAGAATAGCTTCTACTTCAGCTTGTTCACGCCTAATATTCATCGCATCCAACTCCTTTAGAATTTCTTTTTCAGCATGGAGTTGATCTATGTTTTCCTTTCCATCCATGTCATTATAGTGTACCTGTCCAAATATTTTCAGTGGGGATTTGAATTGATTTGTAATTATATCCCATGTAGGTGCTTCAAATTGATCACTTCATGTCTTCACACTACACATGTTCTTTTCAATGTTGTTTTCCATTGATTTGGATGTAGGAGTACGTAATATAGGTTCTATAGGTGAAACAGGTATGTTCGAATGTGCAACAACTACAATATCTTTAGCCATTTCATCTTTCTTAATAAGATCATCTGCCTGAAATTCAACTTGTGTTTCAGGCAATGCATCATCTTCATCATAGGCCTACATCACTCTCAAATCCCCAACCACACAAGTTTAATAAAATATAAATATAAATCAAACAAACTCATAAACAAGAATGAAACTTTATAAAGATATACATTGTAATAATTTTATAAGTTTGTTTGTACCATACTTGACCAATCCTGAAACTACTGAGCACCGGTCAACGTTATACCGTCAAGGACCCAGAAGAGTTTCCCTCCAACCAAGAGGCTAATCACAGCGCGACACGTGTCGACATCAGAAGATAATCATAGCACGACACATGTTAACATCAGAAGCCAATCACAACACGACACGTGTTAATGTCAAAACAAAGCTAGAAACTCTCTTCTATAAAAGGAGATCATTCTCCCACAATATTTCCTAATGTCATTTGTACTAAATCATTCACTAGTACTCACTAAAGGATAACTTGAACCTATGTACTTGTGTAAACCCTTCACAATTAATGAGAACTCCTCTATTCCGTGGACGTAGCCAATCTAGGTGAACCACGTACATCTTGTGTTTGCTTCCCTGTCTCTATCCATTTGCATACTTATCCACACTAGTGACTGGAGCAATCTAGCGAAGGTTACAAACTTAACACTTTCTGTTGTACCAAAGTCCTCATTGATTTTGTGCATCAACATTTGGAGCCGTCTGTGGAAACGACACTTATTCTCACTCGCTTCAGCTTTGCTAAGCTGGTTTCCACCATTCGTACACTCTCTTTTGACCAGGCATCCCTCTCCAACATAGGGAGCAAAAGAAGCCACAGCACATAGAATGACACCCCTCTTGCACCTAGTGCGAAGCAACGAAAGGAGGAAGAAAATAGTGTTATTCTTCAAGCTAAAGTCGATGAGCTAGAAGCTCATAACAACAAGATAGCAATGAAGAATGAGGTCCTCCATGAACAATATGATAAGCTCTTTGAGACGCTCCATGAAACTAGGCGTACTCAAACACGCAAGCTCATTGCCCCTGTGGACATCAACCATCATCTGGGTGCCCCCCAACACGGAGGGTCACCTCCCTTCGACATGGGTATCCCTGATGAGGAGCGAGCTAATCATCAAAACATTGATCAACATGAGACTTCTCTCAACCTAGATGCTTTGACCCGAAGCAGAAGAAGTGGAGGAAGACACCTTCTTCCAGAAGGGTTGGAAGGATCGAAAGCCGTTTATCGTGACTGCCGAGACTTCCTAAAGCAACGTCGAGAGAATCCCCTCCACATATGCTCGAAGATCAATGACCCAAGGGTTTCTGAAAGACTCGGTCCCCTCCCACAACCCAGGCCAGCTACCAATCTAGGGAAGGAACGACAGTCCCAGAGGAACATGAAGGTACAGGGAACTCTGAGGTATTCTGACAGACTCGCCCTAGAAGTCAGTATGGCGATTCCAAGAAAAAAATCACACGCCCTTGCTCAAACTTTTCTACTTCCAAGAGGTGATTGAGACTTACGAAAGAAAATTCCAGTGGTACATGACTCCACTCAAGACCCCCTTATCCTACAACTCCTTAAGGAAGTAAACAAGTTGAAGGCCGAACGTCAAGCCGAGATACTTGACTGGAACCAACCCAAGCCTGGCCCTCTTATAAGAAGGATCCTCGACACATCCTTCAAGTAAAGACAAAACAAAAGCTTGGTTTACAACTCTATACTGGAAGGGAGGACCCAATTGAACACCTTAACCTTTTTGAGTCCACCATGGCATATCGGATGCACACCGACGAAGAGTGATGTCTTCTCTTCCCCTCCACTCTCTCTAGCAGAGCTTTAAACTGGTATTACCGTCTTCCACTTGAGACAGTAGACTCATTTGAGGAACTGAGGAAACTGTTTGTCTCTCAACACATCTTCCAGACCGATCGTTTGCATTCTACAGATGACTTGTACACTGTTCGCTAGAAGCCGGACGAGTCACTACGAGAGTCTACCGGTCGCTTCAGTCATAAGTATTCTCACTGCGCTAAGGCATATGACAAGACCGCCCTCAAGGCCTTCACGGCAGGCCTACGTGATTATTTCTTCAAGTACATGATCAATGCCAACACTTGGAAGACTTACTCTGAGGTGATGGCACATGCTTACAACCATGCCTCCACCAAAGTAAAGACATACCAAGGGAACCCCCATATAGTTAACCCCTATTAACAAATGGGAAGTGGAAGTCAAGTTCTACCAAGTGAGGAGATATTGGCCATTCAGACACCCATTGCATCATCTCCTACCTCATTTACCTACTCGCTAAGTCACCAAACGTATCTGTCTCTTGGTAAGATGAAGGATTTTTATTCTCAGCAAGCCCATTACAACAAGAGGGATAAAAGTTTGTATCAAGACAACCAGGGGTGAACGTACCGTCGACTATTATGACTATGGGGCCAAGCCTCACTCTTTCAAAGTAGAGGACTAGGTACTGAAGGAAATGCTAATATAAGAAGGCATACATATTACAAATGTTTTGACTCTCAACCGCTTGAGATCTTTTGTCACACAAGCCATTCGGCAAATATTTAAAGAAGAGGGAATTCAGACAACTTCTTCTGAGTCTTTTGTTTTCCTAGCATTGGAACACTTAGTCTACGCTGACCTACCTTTATACTCCAACTCAAAGCTTCAACATGCGTACTTTGACACAAAGTATGTGATACTAAATGTTACAACCAACATGGTTCACATATCAAAAGCATGGATCCCTTCATGCATAGCAAAACATTCATAAGCATCACTCATATCAATCAACATAAACATTATACATTCCAACACATTCATACATAAACATCATACATTCCAACACATCCATACATAAGTCAACTGTGCTTCGAAATGGTTCAACATATTGTGTGTCTTCGACACTTGCTACAATATGTCTTGACACCTGACCCTTATTCTTACCAACCAAGTGATAAAATGTGAAGAAGGAACTCATCTTCATGTCACCAACTAGGTGATGAAATGTACAACCCGTACTCTCCTTCATACCACCAACCAGGTGATGAAATATACAACCCGTACTCTAATATCATTTGGTAACTTGCCACTTATGCCACCAACCAGGTGAAGAAGGAACTCATCTTCATGCCACCAACCAGGTGATGAAATGTACAACCCGTACTCTCTTTCATGCCACCAACCAGGTGATGAAATGTACAACCCGTACTTTAATATCATTTGGCAACTTGCCACTCATGCCACCAACCAGGTAATGAAATGTACAACCCGTACTCTCCTTCATGCCACCAACCAGGTGATGAAATGTACAACCTGTACTCTCCTTCACGCCACCAACCAGGTGATGAAATGTACAACCCGTACTCTAATATCATTTAGCAACTTGCCACTCATGCCACCAACCAGGTGAAGAAGGAACTCATCTTTGTGCCACCAACCAGGTGATGAAATGTACAACCCGTATTATCCTTCATGCCACCAACCAGGTGATGAAATGTACAACCCGTACTCTAATACCATTTGGCAACTTGCCACTCATGCCACCAACCAGGTGAAGAAGGAACTCATTTCCGTGTCACCAACCAGGTGATGAAATGTGATGAAAGGTGATGCAGGAACTCACCTTCGTACCACTAACCAAGTGATGAAAGCAACTCACCATTCATTCCACCAACCAGAAAATGAGTGGTACAACTTGTACATGTGAACTCCTAGCATTCACAAATAATAAAAAACGCTCAAGTTTTACAACTCAATTAGGGAAGCACTTATGCCCAACAAGAGTTATAGTTACCAACAAAGTCTTATTGCAAGCCAACAACAACTTCAGTGCATGACATACAAAGATCAAGTTATTCAGCCCTCTTGCATTTGCTTCAGACATTTCTCCTTTGTAACAATGCAAACACTACAACTCATTGAAAGCTTCACACACTCTTGATTAAGACAGTGTGAAGCAAAATCAATTTATGGTGTCAATAAGAGCTTCATTAATGAAGGGCAACTACAATTCTCAAAAGCTTCACACACTTTTGATCAAGACAGTGTGAAGCAAAACCAATTTATGGTGCCAACAAAAGCTTCATCAATGGAGGACAACTACAAATTCTCAAAAGCTTCACACTATCTTGATCAAGATAGTGTGAAGCAAAATCAATTCATGGTACCTAACAAAAGCTTCAACTCCAAGGCTTCACCTACAAAGTTTCAACTTCAAAGCTTCACCTACAAAAGCTTCAACACCAAAGCTTGACCCACAAAAGTTTCACCCACAAAAGCTTCACCCACAAAAGCTTCACCCACAAAAGCTTCAACACAAAAGCTTCACCTACAAAAGCTTCACACACTCTTGATCAAGATAGTGTGAAGCAAAATCAATTCATAGTACCCAACAATGCTTCAACCTCAAAGCTTCACCTACAAAGCTTCAACACAAAAGCTTCACCTACAAAAGCTTCACACACTCTTGATCAAGATAGTGTGAAGCAAAATCAATTCATAGTACCCAACAAAGCTTCAATACCAAAGCTTCACCTACAAAGCTTAAAAAATATTTTTTTTTTTTGAAAATTCAAAAATTCAAAAATTCAGAAATTCGAATAATTCAGAAATTCGAAAATTCGAAAAAAAAAAATTGCCTAAGCCTCATCTTCTTTGGGCCTAACAACTTTCATAACAAATATATATGAAGGATGAGTTTTGGGCTACCACTTAGAAAGGAAATGCTTCATTCGTCAATTCCTTCGACCGGAGACTTGGGAGACTCCTACCATATGCTACTGCACCTTGATACTTGGAAGTCTCACGACCACTCAGTGACTTGGATTTTTCAAGCCTCCAACCCAGAAGTTTTCCTCACTCAGGAAATTAAGGGAGCACTACCTCAACATACATGTTTCACTCACAAAGCTTCAACATACAAGCTTCAACAAAAGAAAACACTCAAAGAACTTAGTAAAGAAGGTTTTGGTGTATTTAACACAATACATTGAAATGAAGCAAAGCTTGTTTATTGATATCTCCGCTAAGTTACAAATATGTACATATACATGAATCAAAATAAATAAACAAGAGGGAGCCTTCACAAAGGTTGCTCAGAAGAAGTCTCAGCAGTCTGCAAAGCCCTAAAAGGTGGAGGCACCGGAGGGTGATTATTCGGAGCCTCAGTACTAGGCAGAACCCCAGAAGAAGGAGGCATCGAAGATTGATCATTTGGAGCTTCATTATGCGGTGCTGTCCCGGAAGACGAAGGTAATAAATGCATTTGGAACAAACCCACAAACCTCTGATGATAAGTAAAATATGACCATCAGATTCCTGCAGCTGATCGAGCTTCCTCTTCATGTTTGTAGCATAGTCATGTGCAAGCATGTGCAACTGTTTATTCTCATGCTTGAGCCCTCTGATCTCCTGTTTGAGACTTATCACTTCAGCCGCCAATGATTCAACTTGGCAGGTTCGAGCAAATAGGCATTAGGCCATATTAAACATAGAACCTGCACACTGAACAATTAGAGCTAGAGAATCCTTAACAGCCAACTTATCAGACCGTTTGGAAAGTAGTATGTTATCTTTGGGAGTGAGAAGGTTCCTAGCCACCACCGCAGCGGTCATATCATTTTTCATCACAGAGTCCCCAACGGTAAAAGGACTAGTAGAGGATAAGAAGGATGGGGGCCATATGTTGTCTTAAGAGAGCATGGCTGCCTCTTCACCAAAATTCAAGTCAAAACGACGGTCGGATGGGCCAGACATTCTCAAAAATGATGAAGGAGAAATGCGGTGCAATAAATCTCTGAAGTACAAAAATAAGGGGAAAATTCCTACAAACAATAACTCTCTGAACATACTTCTTGCACACAATTGGTGCGGGCCGTTGGTTCAAAAATCGAAGAGGCACCACTCTCCGAATTTCAAGAAGCAGATTTTCCTGAGTAAAATATGTCGACAATCTGCACACTCAACATCAGCTCCTCGGGTACCACAGATAACTTTGCCAAAGATATCTAACAAAGTTTAAACACATAAATTTTGAAGGTCTAGCTACCTTATTATTACCCACAAGGGTAAAGGAACAGCACCACTGCTTGATAACTGGAAAGTCCCTATGTGTGTCAACCTCCGTGCTTTGTGGCAAGGCGAACTGGCAAAAATGCCCAACCTTTACTCACATTCGAGAAAACACTTCCAACAAGATTACTTGCTCAAAAATCGAAGAGGCACAGCTTTCCGAATCTCGAAAGCTAGACTCGCAACATGATTACTTGTTCAAAAATCGAAGAGGCATCACCCTTCGAATCTCGAGAGCCAGACTCCCAATAAGATTACTTGCTCAAAAATCAAAGAGGCACATCCATCCGAATCTTGAGAGCCAGACTCCCAACAGGATTGCTTTCTCAAAAATCGAAGAGGCACCGTTCTCCGAATCTCGAGAGCCAGATCTCTGACAAGATTGCTTGTTCGAAAACCGAAGAGGCACCGCTCTCTGAACTTCGAAAGCTAGATTTCCTTGGATAAAGCTTGTCTGCAATCTTCACACACAACATCAGCTTTCCAGATACCACAGACCATTTTTCAAAATGTTATGACAAAGTTAAAATACGTGAATCTTGCAGCTCCCACTACATTGCTATGACCGAGAAGAGTAAAGGAACAGCGTTACCACTTACTGTTGGGACAATTCCTATATATGTTGACCTTCATCCTCCACAGCCAAGCAGACCTGCAAATAAAAAAATTCTCAACTTTTCTTCACATCCGAGAGGGCACTCTCAACAGAGTATTTCGAAATACTCAACTTCTTTTCCCCCCGATAATACCTCTGCAAACAAGTCACACCAGAGCAAAAGTATCTCATATCATCAGGGTTAAAAGCAAGAGTATCCCATATCATGCTTTTTCCTTGTCTTTTCCTTTGGCCTTGTTCTTACCTGCAAGACAATGAGAAAAGAGCAATCTGTCAGCACTTGGAATCAAGCTTCCAATCAAGAACTGACTGCCTGGAACCCCTTGCCTGATTACTTACCTGGCATTACTCTCGAGTACTCATCTTCAACATCTTATGCTTCCAGAGAAGATACCACATATGCTTGAGGAATAGATAGAGCAAGTGAGAAAGATCCAAGGAAGCATGTGGAGACAAGCGGAACAAAACATGTGCCGATACATCCACTACTTTGTCAACAGCAAAAGTATCCCATATCATCAGGGTCGAACGTACTCTAGATTTGATGGACTTGTTTTGACCCTCAAATTCTTGAGTTGGCCTTATACTCTGGAGGAAACTAGAAAACCCTTCAGCCCAGTTCAAGAATAAGCCTGTGGAAATTTACTTCTTCAAAAGCAAAAGTATCTCATATCATCTTTTCTCCATTTGCTTCTCCTTATCCTTGTTGTTGTTTACGACACAAGGAGAAGGAGAACAATCAACCGGAAGCCAAAGTCGAACCTCCGATCCAGGTTGCTTGCTTGGAAGTCTGATTGCTTACCTTGTCTGTTACCTCCTTCGGCAAATCTCCTAGCTTGGCGACTTGGGGGACTCCTACTATAGGGTTTGTATCGCACTTGACCAAGCTCGGAACTACAAGTAAGCTTCAAGTGAAATTGATACATTATCTTGTGCATCTTCATCGGTTAAAGATACCACCCCTGGATGGAGGAAAAGTACTTTCAGAGAAGATACCACATCTACTTATGAGACAGATAAGGCAATTGAAGACGATACCACACTTCGGTACTTTGAAGTTTCATGATTACTCAGTGGCTTGGATCTTGCAATTACTCAGCAGCTTGGATCTTGCAAGACCCTAATCGAGGAGCATCCCTAACTTGGGAAATTAGAGGAGCATTGTTTGTACCATACTTGACCAATCCTGAAACTACTGAGCACTAGTCAACGTTATACCGTCAAGGACCCAGAAGAGTTTCCCTCCAACCAGCAGGCCAATCACAACGCGACACGTGTCGACATTAGAAGCCAATCATAGCGCGACACGTGTCAACATCAGAAGCCAATCACAACACGACACGTGTCAAAGTCAAAACAAAGTTAGAAACTCTCTTCTATAAAAGGAGATCATTCTCCCACAATATTTCCTAATGTCATTTGTACTAAATCATTCACTAGTACTCACTAAAGGAGAGTTTGAACCTATGTACTTATGTAAACTCTTCACAATTAATGAGAACTCTTCTACTCCGTGGACGTAGCCAATCTAGGTGAACCACGTACATCTTGTGTTTGCTTCCCTGTCTCTATCCATTTGCATACTTATCTACACTAGTGACCGAAGCAATCTAGCGAAGGTCACAAACTTAACACTTTCTGTTGTACCAAAGTCCTCACTGATTTTGTGCATCAACAAAGTTTATAACATAGTGCCATTTTTTGGAAGGAAAAAACAAAAAGAAGAGAAAAAGAAAATTTCCAAGTTAATGGGGAGGGATGTCGTGGTTTGCTTGCACATGGGCAAGAATATGGGAATGATGCGGTGGTTGGTTATGGGCGGTGGCTGCTACTTAATTAAGGGGATGAATCTGTAACCAAGGTTTGTTCCGTCCAAAATATTAAGATTGAATACTCATTCAAATAGAAAATTGAATAAGGGAAAATTAAAATCCCCTGCACTTTTTTAATACTCTTTTGATCAAACATTGATTCTAACGTTCAAAAGAATATGCCAACGATAACATATGCTAGTTCATTTAATTTCATAGTAAAATGTACGAAATAAAGAAAGTTAGACAAAAAAGCATAATATCATTAGTTAACATATATAAATGTACCTGAAATGTTTTCAAGTCCATGTTGATCAATGTTTTGTGCAGTTGGAATAAACTCCACCTTACAAAGTTAGGTAGTTTGTTCTATCTACCAATGATGGGGGTAAGTAATCTTGTTTTTTCCGCCAAACCAAAACTATAAACACAAATAGTAGTATAATGCATCAGAATCAACAACTATAGCATTTTTCAACAAAAGAAAAAAAAACCACATTATGAAAAACGTACCAACAAAGACGGAACACATCCTGTTACCAAATGTGGCTTACTAGCATGTACAAGTGATTTGTTCAAACACTCAGCAATCACTACTGCCCAATTATATGTTTGAATTTGATCCAAGTTTTCACATATACCCACAAGTTTCCACGAAATTTGAGTAGAACTATTGCACAATAAGAGTGTGTTACATAAATAAATGCACACTAAACGTGCAAAGTCTGTACGCTCTTCAATTGATCTTCCTGCAACTATATTTCTTATGGATGCCTCAATCCTAGTCTTTGTAACACGATCGACCATATCTGAGAAATATTTAGACATGAATGTTGTTTTTTTTTTGTTTTCTCTCCTGGCGTACATGTGTATTCCAAATTTCTCCCCTCATTAGGAATGCCGAATATATCAGCAATGTCATTAGCTGTCACCACTCCTTTGATGTCACCAAATACAAAGCACCCTTGGTCTTTGTCATATTGTTCAATTATCATCTTGATATCATTGTCCAAAGCACTAAAGTGCTCTGTTGTCACAAGCTTATCTCTGTATGCTCGGTATAGTCTCCAAAATGGTGTTGTCTTCATATGAATATCGTGTCCGGCTTTTACATGTTCTTCAATTGTACCATACAAATCAGCAAAGTGTAGAAGATTAGATCGGTAGTTCATGCTCCCATTCTTAACGGTTGGTAGCACCATGATGTACCTGAAACATTTTTAGTCAAATAATTTGTACCATAATATATATATATTCTAGGCTGCAAGATGTCAACACGAATCATATATATAGCACACTGCACGAATCGTAAATCCTAGGCTGCAAACGTACCAAAAGTTAGGTGTCAATCATCTACGAACATGTTTACCAATTAAAAATTGCGATCAACATAATGTTAGGATTATGCAGTTGGTATGAAATCTTGGTTATGGAACAACATAATGTTAGGATTATGCAGTATTTTGATTGACATTTTTTTGGCAGGTACGGTGAAATATGGTCAAATGTTGCCGATTCATTTAATTCTTGGATTATGAAAGAACGATTATTATCAATATTCCAATTGGTAGAAAGCATAAGAGTTAAATTGATGGTGATGAATGTTGAGAGATGTATTGCTGCAGAGAAATGGAACTCTTATTTATGCCCCGAAATGGAGAACAAGTTGGATATGTTATTGGAGGTGGGAAGACATTGGCACATTAGCCGGTCAAGCGAGGTGGGAAGTGAATTACGTAGCGATGACTCGGTGATGGTGGAATTGGAATCATATACACTACACGAATCATAAATCCTAGGCTGAAAATGTACCAAAAGTTAGGTGTCAAACTACGAACATGTTTGCCAATTAAAAATTGCGATCAAAACCTTTGAATTCAAAAGATTATCAAAACCAAACAGCATATCGTATTCATGTTCAAGCACACTACAAAAAGAGATGTAGCAATACGCAAACGAATGTACCAAATCATAGCTAACACACAAAAGATCAAAACCTGATCCACGAATATTAGTAACCAATCGAACACAAAATCCCATGTGAATCAAAAGCTCAAAACCACATTCAGAATTCGACAAAAACAAGAAACTCGAAAACAAAGTTCTGGAAAGCGAATCAATGCCCATCAAATGGCCTAAAGTGGTACAGTAGCCTTCAATCCTACTCACTTACTCATCTCATATATCGAAATCAAATACCAGAGATGCGCCTTTTTCCCAACCCAAAACCTTCGACTTCAAAAGACAATCAAAATCAACACACCCAACTAATAATTTGAATAAAAATCAATAACTGGAACCTGAATACCTCAATACGGAAAGAAGGCTTCTAAAACTTATGGTACGTTCATAGGAAGGAAGAAAGTGCCGCTGGAAAATAGAATTAACTAAATAAAAATAACATTATTAATATCCTTAAATTCAAATCCTTCTGATATTCAACAATTAGTGTTCTTATTGGATTAAAACTCTAAGACATTTAGCAAGAATCTAGGAACCTTGCGTGCATTTTGGCGTGAAGAGAACTGGAAACGGGAAACACATGTGTTAAAGGCTATGACAAATTATGTAATTTAGGTTCATTACAATGGGTTAATTAAAATACACATGACCCCCAAAATTGTAGAAGAATATTTAATCAATGGGTCTAAATCAAAACGCCCCTAAAAAATGACTAAAAGCCAAATTGCAAGGCCGCACATTTGGAAGTTTATGCACATGGTTCAGTTTGTTATCTTTCACCTTTGACTTTTGATTTACGAGGCACTTATCAGTAGAACACCATAAACATTATTATAACTAACTGGTTTAATCCATGCTTCTACCTCATTTGACTTCTTCGCCAATAACTTTTGTCTAAATTTTAGAAGTGCATCGTCTGTGGCTACATTAGAAGGCTCTACAATTTGAATATTCAAATATATGGAAATCCATTTTTTCTGCTTGAGCATATTCAATAAAATGGACCCCAAATGTGACACCACTGACGGCAGCCAATTTTCCTAGCATTGTTTTCTTCCTAAGTATGCTTTAAACACAATTAATATTTAAAGCTTCTGGCCTAACTAGATATGCTATTTTAAAAACTTGAAATGCCTAATAAGCAGACGGAAAAGGATCCTCCCCGGATCCTTTTTCTGAAGATCATATAGATTCCATAATCGTGACTATTCATTGTACATTGTATAGTCAGAAATCATTTCAAAATTTAAAATTTAAATTTAAATATAAATAGTACCTAACGAAAATTAACCGCACAATATACGATGAACAATCATGATCACACGATTCCTAGGATCCCTAGGAAAAGGATCTGGCGAGGATCTTTTTCCTAAGTAGACAAGTCACATTGCCATATCACTTTATATTAAACTAGAGAACTTTTATTAGCACTTCAAAAATCTCATTCTACACTCCTCACAAGTGTATTTTCCTTTCTAATTATAGAAAGTTTGGAGTGTCAAATGAGATTTTTGGAGTTCTAATAATAATTTCCTTAAATTAATATAATATTTGCAACAGATCAGTTTTATAATGAGGCTTCTTAAGAGCTGTCCTAGTCTCAATTTATCTTTTGGAATGTTTCAACCTTTGGCTCAAACAAGACCTTCCACTATCTGTGCATTTTTTCTTGAATACATAGAGACACCCATTGTTGATATATATTTGATCGTAGTATCAAATCCAACGATCCTAGTCACTCAGTTTAAGTTGTTGGATAATCTAACGGTCAGATATGTATAAGGCACTCTTAAGAAAAATTGCTATTTGTGACCCTGTTCTTGTCCCTCCCAGCCAAAACATGCTTACGAACATTACACCTCACTAATTAATAATTAAAAGAGAGCAACCTTCATGAATGCCATGATTTTGCTTAAGTAAGCAGTTTTGGTCAAACTGAAGGAAAAGAATCATTTAAATGAGCTGACATCGCCTATAGTTTCTTTTATATTTTACTCTTGTTGGCTTGTTTAAGATTCGATGACTTTGGCCAATGGAATCATTGACATACTTCAGTGTTCCTGACAATGCTTCGTATATATCCGAAACAACGTTTGCTTAGACTTTCATACAACGTTTGTTTAGGTTTCATCTCGAGCAGACGATGTTATTTTGGCCATGAACAAAATATTCCACATAGAAAATAGTACGTAAAATATCCTACGTTCTAGTAAAACAACTTATCAATCCATATTTATATATATCAATTCACACTTGGCTAACCATTATTCACAAATTTAAATCTGCATTATGGATAGCTAGTTTGCTGAAGGAGTGTTTTTGGAGAATCTAAAACTGGCTTAAAAACGGATTTAACTAGTCTACTTAAGATGCTTTAATTGCAAACATTGCCTAGGAAGGACATGTATGAGCAAGATTTTTAGTAGTGTAGCGGGGTTGAATGAGAGCGGAAATAATCTCTCAAAGATAGTGATTTTTACACTCTTTTTCCATCTACACTTTTTTTTTATTTATAATTTTTTTCCGTTAATTCTCCTTTGATTTATCACAGGCTAAAGAGAGCCTAGTTTTGACAGTCTAGTAGAATAGTCCTTGTTTCCAAGTGAACTTGCGAAGTTAACAAATGCTGAAGTGTGTGCCATGCAACAAGATGAAAACTTTACCGAATACCCAAAAATTAAGAAACAAACACAGAGAAAAAGAACGAAGAAGAAGAAGAAGAAGAAGGTGAAAGAACCTTTTGTAAGATCTTGAGCTCCTCATAGGCGTTCCACTTCTTCTTAATGGCATAGAAATCTCCATTAATGGAACTTTATACACAGACCCTTCAATCAAGCTACTATCGCTGAACCCATCTGTGGCCTCTCTCAACTCTTCAATACCAAACACTATATACTTGTCCAAGCAATCCGAAACATCCGCCATCAAATTCACCTCCATTTCCTTCGACCTCTTTGACCCCTGCTTGCTCCTGTACAGAACCTTATTCTCCTCCTCATCTCCTTCCCCACCAATCTAATAAACTTGATATTCAATAATTGTTTTACACTCATACCATGCTGCAATGTACAGCAGATTTTATATACATACATTCACTCGACAATGCTGCAATGGACAGCAGATTTTATATACATACATTATTACATCCGCATGCAATAAACAAATGAAATGCAAGTGATGTCCTTGCTGCCCACGATGCAGCAATCAGAACACAAGGTGCAGAAACCATGTGATACACGATGCAGCAACCAGAACACAAGGTGCAGAAACCATGTGATAGTCTTAGCTGTCAAGGAATGTTGTATCCATGTGCAACATTCCTTTTGTCCAGGTTGTACAGCTTGTCAGTTGCAGAATGCAGTGGGAAGGTTGTGGTCAGTTGCAGAATGCAGTGGGAAGGTTGTGGTGGAATTGGTTGTGTTGACGTCGTGGACTGGTGACTTACCCAAATTAGGTTTATCACGCCCCCGCAAGCTGACGGGGCGTTGACGAACAGGAAGCTTGGAGATAAGATAATGGAAGCGGACAGACGACAAACCCTTGGTTAAAAAATCAGCAATTTGGTCAATGGTAGCCACATAACCAACTTCTATTTCCTTGCGAATGACCTTGTCCCGGATGTAGTGATAATCCACTTCCACATGGCGCATGCGAGCTTGATAAACGGGATTGGAAGCAACAGCAATGGCGCTGATATTGTCACACCAGAGACGAGGTGGCGGTAATGGAAGATATAAATCACGGAATAGATTGCGAAACCATGAGAGATGGGCAGAAGTATAGGCAAGTTGACGATACTCCGCCTCTATGCTAGACCGTGATACTCCACGTTGCTTTTTCGAACTCCAGGAAATTAAATTATTGCCTAGAAATATGCAGTGACCGCCAGTGGAACGCCGGTTATCAGGATCGCCAGCGTAGTCAGCATCAGCGAAGGCAGTTAGTGTGAGGGGACTGGATTTGTAAAGTAAGCCGTGATCATGTGTGCCTTTCAAATACTATAAGATACGTTTGACTGCAGCCCAATGCGCAGTAGTTGGAGAGTGCATGAACTGACACACTTGGTTGACAGCGTAAGCAATATCAGGACGTGTAAATAGAAGGTATTGAAGGGCGCCCACAACACTGCGAAAAGAAGATCCATCTGAGAGAGGCTCACCATCATATAAACTCAAGCGTTTACCACTGGGAACTGGCGTTGAGATGGGCTTGGCGTCAGCCATATTAGTTTTCTGTAGAAGCTCCAAAATATACTTGGATTGAGTGAGATAGAAAGCAGAAGGCGTCCGGGAAACCTCCATCCCCAAAAAGTAGTGTAAGGGCCCAAGATCTTTCATTGCAAAATGAGTACCAAGCTGTGTGATAAACTGAGACAAGTGAGCATTGTTGTTCCCTGTTATTAAAATGTCATCCACATAGATGAGAAGATAAATGATTGTTGAACCATCAAAATAGGTGAAGAGAGACGAATCAGCTTGGGAAGCAGTGAAGCCCAAGTCTTCTAGTTTCTGAGAAAAACATTGAAACCAAGCACGGGGTGCTTGTTTCAAACCGTATAGAGACCGTCGAAGTCGACACACATAAGAGGGAAACTGTGGATCAACGAACCCTGCAGGTTGGCGCATATAAACTTCCTCATTCAACGTGCCATGAAGGAAGGCATTTTGAACATCAAGCTGGCTGATAGGCCACTGAAAATGAAGAGCAATAGAGAGAATGAGCCGAATGGTGGCATGTGTGACGACCGGACTGAAGGTTTCACAGAAATCAATGCCCTCTTGCTGATGAAAGCCATTGGCAACTAGGCGAGCTTTAAAACGCTCGATGGAACCATCAGAGTTCGTTTTGATGCGATACACCCATTTATTAGGTAACACGTTCATAGAAGACTTGTAGGGTACCAAAGTCCAAGTGCCAGTACGCTGTAAAGCATTGAATTCATCCGCCATGGCTTGGCGCCATTGGGGAGACTTATTTGCCTGTGAGAAACATGTGGGCTCAACCAAAGTATTAGTAACGTTAGTGATGCAAGCATATCTGGGATTGGTTTTCGAATTCCTTGTTGACCACGCGTGATCATGGGATGAGTGGATGGAACAGTATGTGAAGTGGTGTTGGCAGGTTCAATATTCACGTGAGTAGTGGGAGTTGATGGGTGAGAATGGGAGTCTGGGGTAGATAGCGGTAGGGAAGGAGGGAGTGCGATGGCGACAATCAGTGTTGGATGGGAAGGAGGGGTCGGTGGGGTCAAATGTGGTTGGGTGTAATGGAAGGTATCAATGTTGAGGACATGGTCCAACTGACGAGGGTTTGACAAGGTCGGAGGAGCAAGTTCTTTAGATGGAAAACTCTTTTCATTGAAAACTACATGACGACACAAAAAAGACTTGCCAGTGGTAGGATCATAACATTTATAACCTTGATAATTTAATGAGTATCCTAAGAAAATGCATTGTTTTGATCGAAACTTAAGTTTAGAATCAGTGTAAGGACGTAAATAGGGAAAACAAGCACAACCAATACTTTGAGAAAATCATATTGGGGTGATTTTGAAAACAGTTTTTGGAAAGGAGAGACGCCATTCAAGATTTTGGTGGGAAGACGATTAATGAGATAATTGGCAGTTTGAAAAGCGTCATCCCAGAAAGTGTGAGGGAGAGACGCATGAGCAAGTAAAGTTAAGCCAATTTCAACAAGATGACGATGTTTACGTTCCGCAAGACCGTTTTGCTCGGGATGATGAGGACAACTGAGTCTATGATGAATGCCATGTTGAGAGAAAAGTTGTTTAAAAGAGGAATTGACAAACTCTCCTCCACCATCAGATTGAAAAAATTTAATTTTGGTGTTGAACATATTTTCTGCAAGCTTTTTAAAATTAACAAAGGTTTGAAAAACATCAGATTTTAACTTTAAAGGATAGAGCCATGCATAACGAGAAAAGTCATCCACAAAAACAACATAATACTTGTAACCATTAATTGAATAAGAAGGAGAAATCCATACATCTGAATGTATTAATTCCAAAGGAAACGATGACTGGGAAGAAGATAAATAAAATGGCAACTTATGACTTTTGCCAAGGGGACATGATGAACAAAAGTCGTAGGTTGCATTACCAGTTAAAGGTAGTTTATTTTGGGAAATTAGACGACGCAAAACAGAAATTGCAGGGTGACCTAACCTACCGCTCTCTCTAAGGCTTCCATAATTGTTTAGTAAATTATGCCTACAACACGTTATCAGCACGCTCTTGACGCTATGCTAACAAGAGAGTTTTATCTTCCATTAGAGGAGTATTACGTTTTAATCATTCTTTTTATGATTAATTTATTATTTTATTGAATTCATCTACATGATATTGATTCAATTTAATTTTTCTTTGTTGAACGTGATACAATGCATTGGAGATGCAATTTCAGCTTTCTGAGAAGGAACTTCTTCAAATTCAAAGGCTTTTGTAGTTTTCTACTAATCGGGTACGCTTAAAATAAAGTAAGATATTTGAAACAACCTTGAAGCATGAAAACATTCCTCATGATGTATGAACCCCTATGTTTATATTTTCCTTCCCATATATATATGTATATATTCATATATTTGTCAATATATATATTTGTTCCATGCATTGCACAATTAAATTGTTATGTGGAATATGTGAGTCAAAGTATCAAATTAAATTAGAAGCAAATATGGGTTTCCTAAACCCTAAGGGATTTTGAAAAAATGGGAATTGGGCATGGTGCGGCACACCCACCGCACCATCACTGTGCAAACAGAAACCCGGCTTCGGCCTGGGGTCAATTTGATGGGCCTGAAGCCCTCAGCCTGTTTGTACCTTGACCCGTGGCCTGCTATTTTCTCTCGAACCGAACCAAGCCTCGGCTTGGGTTCTATGTAGCCCAAGCCTGCAACCTTCATCCAATCCAACCTAGTTAGCTAGGTTTTCTGCCACGACACGTGTACTTCACACAGCCCACATGGTTAGGCTTGGTCCATGCAGCCTGCATCTCCCTGCAGCCAGCCCATGCAACTGGGATTAGCTCATGCACGCCCAGAACCCACGACTAGCTTGCGCTGAACCTCACTCGTGCCCCCCCCCTTCGGCCCAGATTTGAAACCCAACTACTGCTGGGATTTCACCTCACCCCCGTGACCTGCAGTTACTCTCGAGGACCTTTTTGGACCATGCCTTTTCTACTTAAGGCACCCAACCAAGCCCAAATATTTTTGGGGCTATATTTTCGATCCAATAACATTATTTTAATATTATTTAGCTTATACAATCGACCCTGTATGGCCCGATTTATTGACCTGAAGATCACTTTTGGACATTAACGATTCAATAATTTATTTTTCTACTTTGAACCATTGACATACTTTCGTAGTCCTGAAGCACTCACACTTGAGTTCCTGAAGCAACCCAAATCCACTACACTTAGTTGTATATTGCATTTTGTGTTCTTGCAAGAACCTCTTGTAGACATCGAAATTTTGTCTCTTTCGTTTCAGAAATTTTCCGTGTTCACACCTCTCTTTTATGAACTAAACGTTCATAAACTAAATAGAATCTGTAGTTTCAAATTTAGTGCCTTTGAAACTCGAAGTTTTCATAAAACAATACACCCATGAAAACCCGACGTTTTTCATGAAAACCATATCTTAGAACTCGAATGTTCTAACTTTGATGCTTATGGATGATTCATTCCTATAGCACCAATCACAATATTGTTCTCTCCAATTCAATGGATTGTCGAACCATCACAAGTTTGATTTTCCTGATTTGGCCGTTTCTTACAAAAACCACTTTATGTGGGGTACAAGACGTGAATCTCCACTTGACTATCAAGAAGCTGAGAAACCACTGAAGCCAACAATGGCATGGAATAGCTAAATAAGCCTCCGCCATGATCTTCATTTGAAGACTTATGCTCAAAGCATTACAAATGGAAATACCTCCCGATCGAGGATTCCATAGCTCTTTGGCTCGCTTATACAGACTGTCTAATGATGAAAGACATTGCCTAAAGCAAACCATGATTACGTCCATGAATGAGTACAATTATGAAGTTTATAAATCCGATCGAATTTTGACTAGAGAATACTTTTCTCGTTCTTCCATGTTTCTAACTCACCCTTGAAGCAGTAGTGTAGAAAACGGAAGTTACCAAATTCTCGGATCTGATTACTACCACAAATGTGAGAGAAAGGTATGGACCCAGTTCGGCT